GAAATAGAATAACTTAGCCAAAACCATACAAAAACAAAGACCAATTAGTTGAAAGTTTATCTAATTCAGGCTTAAACCAATTACCCGTCATTCTTTTTCTTAAAAAAAAAGATAATAAATTCTTTATTCTCTTGGGATTCCGATTGTGATTGGACATAATAAAAGATAGCCTATAAATAACGCAGCAAGAAGATACACAGAGGGATCCTCACGTTCACCCTTAAAGATTCATCTGGATTCCACCAGAAAAGTGAGAGAATTCTCACAGACTATATTGATTATTTTGGAATACAATTGATGCCTAAGGCAACGCTTACATTGCCTATTTATTCTACTTGTAATTTGCATGATTAATTATACATATTGAATGCTATTTAAATCATGGCATGTAATACTCATGGCCCATTCGTCTTCACCTTGCGCCTATCAAGCTGTGCTTCAAATTCCTCTGCTAAACGTTCTACGTCAATAAATAATACGTAGAAAGAATTTTAATCAAACATACCGATAAAAAAATCAAACAAATTCTCATAATAGCATCTCAACAGTACTAAATCAAAAATTATAATTCATCCCAAATTAAACCCTAGAATACTCAATTTTAACAAAATCCCAAATCAAAGCCCTAGAATAATTCATCCCTAATTAAAGTCCTAATTAATTTCAACAAAATCCCAAAATTATAATTCATCCCTAATTAAACCTTAGAATACTCAATTTTAAATTAAAACTGTAATTAAACATATATAGAAAAAGGAGAGAATAAGAATAATACTTGTTGTTGACAAAAGGAGATGAGAAGAAGTTCCCAAGTTGCCCACCCAAGATAATAGAAGATGTAGCCAATAGAGTGAGAATTTGAAACCCACCCAACCCCCCAAAAAAAAGAGAGGGAGAAACAAGTAGATGTCGGGTAGCAAAGAGAGAGAGAGAAACAAGAAGTCTCATAGCCAAAAGAGAAAGAGAGAGAAGATATAGGAACACATGGATGGCCATCATGTGTGTAGGATTTCCTTTAAATTTTTTTAATTTTGGGTTGGGCGTATAACACATGTAGTTTTTTGTTTTTTTGAAAAAATTTGGGCTCCAGTCTACCCTGTTTACCGCACCGCCCCTGGATAGGGGCCGCACCCCAAAAGCAAAGAGAAAAATTGTCGATGTTTTTTAATAGGGTAATGATTTCCCCATTCTCATTTTGACCACTTACACTCCTTTTTCAGTTATAAAATGGAGTGTAAGTGGATAAAATTGGAGTGGAAGAGAAAGAGAGAGAAGATATAGGAACACATGGATGGCCATCATGTGTGTAGGATTTCCTTTAAATTTTTTTAATTTTGGGTTGGGCGTATAACACATGTAGTTTTTTGTTTTTTTGAAAAAATTTGGCCTCCAGTCTACCCTGTTTACCGCACCGCCCCTGGATAGGGGCCACACCCCAAAAGCAAAGAGAAAAATTGTCGATGTTTTTTAATAGGGTAATGATTTCCCCATTCCCATTTTGATCACTTACACTCCTTTTTCAGTTATAAAATGGAGTGTAAGTGAATAAAATTGGAGTGTGGAAATCACCACTCTTTTAATAAACCCCAAAACAGCATCGATAGACATGAGCGAGCGCGCGAGGTGAAAAGACTGCTCAAGGAGGGTCAATGATGGTTTGAACTGATCATTGGCCAACAGCAAGCGTACAACAATGGATTTGTAGATCAATGGACGGACTGCAGGTCACGTGTCTCACAATCTACAAAAATAGCATGCATGAAGGGAAAATTGATAAGAGTTTATGTGTATACCTTTGCATTGGCAAATCAGACATGTTGTAACGCCTAAAGTGATGCATTAATATATGAGGAATTCTAGCCACCACATTTTTCTCACCACTTTAATTCTAGGTGTATATCCTTATCACTATTTTCATAACTTGACACGTGTCCACATACATAACCATGGTTTTATAAATACAAAATAAAAAATTTAATCATGGTTATCTCTATAGACACATGTCAAGTATTAAGAAAGGTTGTGAGGATACACATTGGGTTAAAGTGGTGAGTAAAGAAATTTTCAATCTTCTCTTGTCTTTTCTATTTAGTTTTGCGCCACTTGTATTCCACTTACACATAAATCTATATGTTCAACCAACTTTTTATTATATTTACACGCAAAATATCATTACTTTGCATTAAATACATAGATTTATGTGTTAGTAGAATACACGTGGCAATCTATGTATTTAATATGTTCAACTAACTTTTTATTCTCTTTATTAGCAAAATATCATTACTTTGCATTAATTACATAGATTTATGTGTTAGTGGAATACATTTGACTGGAATACATGTGACACAAACTGAATGAGAAAGGCTGAGGAAATGTAACTAGCATTCTTCTTAATATTAGAGAAGTCAATTGTTTTCTTTGTTCACTTATATGATAGGTGATCTATGAGATGAGATTATGAAATTATGTAGAACCCATTTTAGACGAGTAAAAAAAACTTTAAATGTGTAATGTTATTGTGTTACCCTACTTTTATTAACTCGTCCATTATGTGTTTTAAGTGTATTTGTCATGGTTGTTTGGTGTTTAGGAATTTTTTCAATTTCGAAATGCACAACATGCGGCCACCATAGTATAATTTAGCACCCAAAGGAAAAGTTGAATTTTTTTTTTCCTTAATCGTTTCTTTCCGCTAGTGAAATGTGATATTTCATTGAAGGAAATGAAGGCTAACAAGAGTTAGATGCAACTCTCAAATCTAATCTCTCTGCAACTCTCTCTCAAATATGACCAAGCCATAGACCTTGTAGGCCGCCCAGCAGAGAGAGAGAGAGAGGAATAAATAAAGGAAAGGGAGAGAGAGGGGAAAGTGGGATTTGATGGTGAAGAAGGAAGTCTCTGCCAGAAAACCAAACCTGTGTGACATGCACACTGCATTTTTGTATTGAAATACTAAATATGTTAGTATGGAACCTAATCAGATAGAGTAATGCTGGAAATAGTTCCTAATCATATCGGCTCTGTTTGGTTCTTGGGAAATCAATTGCTTTTCCATATTTGGTAAGTCCAGGCATGGAAAATTGTTGTCTTGCACATGAGAAAGTAGGGGGAAAGTGATGCCCTCCTCCCCCATTGGTTTTTGTTTTCTTCCTCATGTGAAAGTTTGGAAAAATAAGCCAACATTAAATACACATTTCTCATGACCATATTGTCCCCATTAACAATTTAGAATTACAATATAGCATTAAATGCATTCTTTGTTTATTTAATTTCATATGGGTATAATTGAAAAATTAAACAAACTTTGTTTTGCATTCTTACACAAACCAAACATGTGAAAGGAAATAAAGTAATATTTCTTGATTACTTTCTCAGGATTACCAAACATGGGAAATGAATCTTCATTTCTCATCCCTTGGGAAGTGATTTCCCCTCAAATTCGTTCTGTGAACCAAATGTGGCCATAGAGTAATGCTAGAAATACTTTTTAACACAACTTGAAAGTGTTTTTAGTTAATTTTTTTAAAAAAAAATTTGCGCTCCTTTTCATTCACAAATGACATGTTTACTAATTTGCAATCAAGTTAAGAGGAATTGAATTAAGGGGGAGTTGGAATCAATATTCTCATTAAAGTTGTTTACTAAATTATCATGAATCGAAATTGAAACTAGTTTGATTACTAAAATGCACTTGTTCTAAATAATTATTGGGTTAAATTGGATGATAAATTTGAAATTTAAAAAATTGTGAGGATAAAATGGGTAAAAAAGATGGGTTCATAATGGGCTAGTTATCCAGCAAAGAGTCCAATTTCTCCAAAATCATGAGTTGAATTCCTAATTTTGTGTAGGGCCCGCTTGCTTTTTCATTCCTTTATGTGAAGTAAACACATAAGTAGTCCGTAATCGGAATTCAACTCCTCATATTGATTCCCATTACGGAAATGCACTATAATTACCCAAACTTGGTATTTGGGACCTCCCGACTTGGACTTGGCCTTTCGATTTCTTGCGTTTGGCCACAAACCCATTCCAAGCCTCGGGAGCTTCATATCCAAAACTCACAGCTCTTCATTCCAAAAAATTCACTAAAAAATACTACGAGCTCTTTGTAACATACACTTTCATTCTATGATTTGAAATTCACAATTGGATCCCCCAAAAAATAAAATTCAAATTTCACATAAAACTAAAAACTAAAATAAGTTACCAAACAACTTGTGTTCAGTTTTAACTTTTAACTTTTTTGGAAAATTGAAATTAGATACCAAATAAGTTTTTAGTTTTTTAAAAAAAATGAAAAAAGAAAACTGAAATGGTTGTCAAACTGACCTTAAGTGACTTAACGAGTAAGTTGAATCAAAACGACTTTCCAGGTGCCAATTGGAATTAGTAAGACCTTTAAAATTAGGAAAATGCTAAGGAGACTATCTTTAGAGACCAACTTGTATACCATCTCCCTAATAGAGGTGGAACCCATTGTATTGATGGGCTCCACTTTAATTAGAGAGATAGTACACAAGTTGGTTTTTTAAAATGATCTCTCTAGCATGACCCTTAAAATTAATGTAAATACATTGATATGTATGTACCATCTAATTAATAGAGATGGGGCCACTATATTATTATTTGTGGATTCCAAGTCTATTAGAAAGATAGTAATGGTCTAAAAATATAGTCTTCCCTACCATTAGTCATATTCAAGATAGTAATGGTCTATAAATATAGTCTCCTTCCCATTAGTCATATTCAAATCATCTATTTGTTTGCATCAATCATTCACAAGTCACACGCATAACTTTTTTAATTGGAAATTCACTCACAAAAGTACCTGAGAAGCTTTGGCGTTTTTTATATTTATTTTTAAACTAGACAAATAATAAAAACACAGAAGAAATGAAAGCGCACAACCAAAAAAGAGACCAAGACCATGAAATGCAACAAGGCTATTGGTCAATGAGAGAGAGAGCCCATTATTTTAGGTGACAGACATACGCCGCGTACACAGGCAACTTTCTTCACGCTTTCTCGCATGAAAAGTTTCCATAAATTGCATGCAAACTCAGAGGCCGAAAAAAACTCTCCCAGTCCCAGTTTTAGTATCAGTCTACAACCCAATCACCTACGGTAAAGTCAGTCAAGCAATTTCCCAACCACATTCAAACTCTTCCTAACATTTTCCTCTTCAAAATCCCCCAAATTTACTACCGAAACTCAAAAATATATTCCTCAATATATATCTCTAGCTCCTCCACCCCTTTCTCTCCTCAATCTAGAACCCCAACTCTCAAAAAATCTTGTAAACTTTCTGGAGTTGTTTATCTTCGCTGTTAAGACGGAGAATGGAGGGTTTTCGGTGTTTTCTGGACACGGAATCGCTTCGTATTCCACAATCTCCGTTGCCGGAATGTGTGTCCGGAAGTTCATCGCAGAACCCCATTGGAGAATCCCATTTTGATCAAACCCTAGAAGCTGCTTTTTCTCGCCTCAAAGTCTCACCTTTTTGCCGCCAGCCGCAGCTTTCTCGCTTTGACGGCGATTGCAGTAATGGGTCTTTGATAAAATACCCAATAAACGATCATGGGTTGGGTGGGGAAAATTTTATCCCATTTTGCAACGACGAGCTGCAGAGTCTGAACTTAAATAGTGGCGGTAATGGGGTTCTTTCGCATTTGGGTCTTCAAGATTGCTGGGTTCAGTCTGATATTGATTGCTCGAATGGCTTTGTGTCCAATTTAAATCAACATTCTGATAATAGCCCACATTGGTTGCAAGCGTCCCTAAATGGCTGGTCTGTGGCTGATTTGCGTGGGAGGGTAGCCTTTCTGGCCACGGACCAAGACGGTTGTCGTTGCTTACAAAGAGCAATGGAGGCTGTACCAAACAAAGAATTGATTGATTTGATATTCTTGGAGGTTCTAGAACATGTGGCCACTTTGATGCTTGACCCTCATGGGAATTACGTTATTCAGAAGCTTGTGGAGGTCTGCAGTGAAGAGCAGAGGACCCAAATGCTTTTAATGTTGACCAAGAAAAATGATTTGCAGCTTATTTGTATTTCCCTTGACACTCGCGGGTATGGTTGGTGCCTAGTTGTTGTTTGCATGTGTTAATAATTCAATTGTTGTAAGATTGCTGACCAAATAGTTGTTTTGGTTTTTTTTTTATTAGTATAATGGTTTTCTTATCTTTCGTGTGACAGGACTCGATCTGTACAGAAATTGTTGAAGTATGTTTCCACCAAAGAGCAAATCACTCTGATTATGAGAGCTCTGAGTCCTGGTGTTGTTGCATTGAGTAAGAACAGCAATGGTCAACATGTGATCGAGCATTGCTTAGAGCATTTCTCTGTTCAAGACAATGAGGTATGTTCTCTCCTGTTTGGGCGATTTGCAATTATCCGAATATTTTGTTCATGTTGCATTTGGAGTTGATGTTTTGCTAGTTCTGCTCATGTCATTTTCATGATGAGTGACATCTTGCAAGAATCCCCCTTCAGTACTTGCTTTTGATCATTAAAATTATGATTCTAAGCCAATCCACAGCTTGCGAAAAGCTGGAACATTAGCCGATTAGCCCTCGAAAGCAGGAAACATATCATCCATGCACCTGAAATTTATCAGCTATACCATCATGTCATGTTGGTTAGAATATCTTGTCTTTGTAGTCGTTATAAAGGTAAACTATTGATAACACAATTTGAAAGTTTAATATGTAATTGGCTATTATTGGTCATGTTTCATTCAAACAAAGGGTGTGATACGCTCATTGGGAATTTACTTTTTGACTGCATATGTGACTAGCTTGAAGCCTGGCACCCTAATAAAACAACCAAAAGTTTAGGCTTATTACTTCTAAAATTTCAGTGAAGCGCATGAGTTTTATATCCAAGGATCGCATGATGGATTCTTGTAACTGAAGGTTATTTAGATTATCCTTATTCTTAATACGCATCCTTCTTTTTCATATTTACTTCTCTTATCACGGTGTTTCTAACAAAACATATTTTGTTCCACATCATATTTTGACATTTCTATCCTCATCCCAAACTTTTTATTTTAAAGTATCCTAGTAAGTTAACCATCAAATGTAAGTTGACATGCATAATAAAGAGATCAACTCACTTGGTGATAAAATATTTGGTAGTAAACAAGCACCAATCTTTCTATGTTGCTTACACCAATGTTTCAGAAGCCCTTTGTAACTAGTCCATGATTTCACTTTCCTTAAGTACAAGGGAAAGGTGTAGTATCTTGATTATCTGGCAAAATTTTTGTTGGCAGCATCTTCTGCATGTGGTGGCAAATAACTGTTGTGAAATCGCAAAAGATAAAAGCGGCTGTTGTGTGCTACAGAAGTGTGTTGAACACTCTAATGGACAAAACAGAGAGCGTCTGGTTGCTGCGATAACAGTAAAAGCAATAGTTCTAGCAGTAGATCGTTATGGGTTTGTTCCTATGAAACGTTATCCATACTTTTTAAAAATATCAATCATGATCTTTATTTATTGTTCTATTTTATTGTTCCTATACCCTAGAAACTACGTGCTGCAACATTTACTGGGGTTGAGGATGCCACAAATCACAGAAAATCTTCTGAGGCAACTTCGAGGCAGTTATATGTCTCTCTCTTGCAATAAGTATGGCAGCAATGTTGTGGAGAAGTGCTTGTTAGATTCAGGGGAAGAAAAGTCTTCACAAATTATTTTTGAGTTGCTTACAAATCGGAACGTTTCAATGCTTCTTTTACATCCTTTTGGAAACTATGTCATCCAGACAGCACTGTCAGTTTCGAAGGTTAGATCATCTGAATCTGCATATCAATTAACAAATTGTTTAGATACACAGAAGTTCTTGTTATCCTTACAAATTTATGACATATATTGTGTCAGCAAGGCGGGACTGCGTTTGGATATTTTCACTTGCCCATATTGTTCAAATTACTTCATTTGATTAACCTGTCAACTTATCGTCTTTTGATACATCCAGTTGTCTCTTAAACCTAGATGATTTTGATTAAGCTCTAATGATTTGATTTAATTTCTCATTTATTGCGCAAGCACAGGGTCTCTACCATAATGCTCTATTAAATTTGGTTCAATTAAACTCCCACGTCATGCGCGGCAATTATTATGGACAAAAGGTACTTGCTTGGTGCGATAGGAGCTTGCAACATATGTAGAGATGGACAAATACAAGGTATTCCATTAACAAGAAATAAAAATGCAACTCTAGTGTGCCTGGCATTTTGTTGTTTCTGTTGTTCTGTCCCATTTGAACTTTCGATGGAATGATTTCCTCACTGTCCTGTTGTGTTGTGTCGTCATCTTGCAGTGCTTTTTCTCCCTACTTTTCAATGTCACTCTTGTAGGGATGCAAGGATTCGTTCATTGGAGCAGCTGGATAGGAGCTAACTTTAGGTTTGTAATATCAAAATCCTTCAAGGGGATCAGAAAGGGATGATACAATGTGTGTTTCTAAACCGTAGAGTTCGGTGATCTTAATTCCCACTGTTTTGGTTTTTGGGTATAGGTTTTGTATATTGAGATCCCCCATTGTTGTACTCAGTGTTATATTAGAAATTGTTTCTGAATTCATCTACTCGTGTTAAACTCAGGGGATTGTTTCTCTTCTTGTTAGTTGTTCTTACAGATATAAAGGTTCAGTTTCGGATGCTATTGTGTTTGACATGAGGGAAATTTTCACTCTCAAATTATAAATAATAGCATGTTATCCTTCAAAGTTTATTCCATTGTTAGGTTGATATAGGAAGTTCATTTGTGCATGATTTTTTTTTCTTTCACTTATTATGGTTTGATCAACAATTCAACTTTATGTAAGGACCGTAAAAAGAATACAATTCTTGTGCCCGCGAAAGGAATAAATTATAGAATACTACAGATGTACCAGGTGGCCACGTAGTATTTTAAGGCCTTTTCCAACTCATATGGGCTAAACCTAAATTTCATACTTAATTGATTGGAATTTGCAGATGAATTTTAACTAGATTATATATAAATTGGATTAAGATAGGCTGAATTGGAACCGAAGTACACCCGAGAAGGTTGTTGTCTTTTGAAAATCGACAAAGGTTCGTTTTTAGTTGAGTTCAATGGAGTTATAAAGTTTGTAGAGTTCAATGTAGTTCAATTGATTTCTATCAACTCCACATAGAGTTTGATTGAATTCCTAGATTGATTTTGATGGTGTTTGTTAGAGTTTTATCGTAGATTTTAAAAGAGTTGATTAGAGTTCTAAAATATATTTTTTTTCTTTTTTTCTTTTTTTCTTTTTTTTTTGGGGCTATTTATGGTTTTTCTAGATTTTCAAAAGAGAAAAGTACCTTTACAAAAACATTTGAGCTATTGAACTTCCAAATCAATACATCCAAAGAAAATTTTAAAAAAAAAGGCATCTAATTTGTTCAAATGTGCAACCAAATAAGGATTTATGTCTGCATGTTTATGAAAAATAAGCAAAAGTAAAAACATAAAAGTAATTTCATGACAAAAAAATGAAATTGGGCGTCGAGCTAAAGAACGTTCAATATGACCATCATGTATGAGAGCCATTAAAGCATTGAGCACTTGAGCTATTGCTTCTGTTGCCATCAACAATATCTTAATGGTTTCATAATCATGTTTCTCTAATTCTACATCGTCCATTTCCTCTTCTTCTTTTTCTTCGTTGATTTCTTCATTATATAGTACTTCATCTACTTCTTCCATCTCCATTAATAACAAAAAAAAAT